AATTGAGTCGTTCATGTTGTGGTTTTGTTGAGTTTTCGAGAAATTTATCTTAGAAGAAGCTATTTGTTTGAAGAATTTTATCTATCCAAGATGTAAGGTGACGATGTATCATCAAATAAATTTTTATTTAAAAATCATTTTGTAATTTATTTTATGTTTTGATACTAGACCTCTAAACATTCTTCCAATTTTATTTTTTTATTTTTAATATCATTTGTTTGAGATTTTATTTTATGTTTTGATACATCAGATCTCCACATTCAAATTCAAATATGAAATAACACTAGTATTAGACCCTGTGTATTTGCACAAATGCAAATAAAGTATTGTGAGTTATTTATATGCATATAATGATTAATTATTTTTCTTTCACTTTTATCAGGCCAAATTTACAACTAAAAGAGTGGGATTTTTTTTTTTAAATTGCGTTTATCTAATTAGATGTAATGTATATTTGGGTACGTTTTTTTTGTGATTTATTTATTATTTATTTAGAAATTTCAAATAAGTTTTTTATTTTTGTAAAAAAATGAATTTAATGTAACCACAATAATAACATCTAATCACATTATACGGTCAATATATAATACGGTCAACTGTTAGTAATCAAAAATTTTAAATGATTTTTGTTGTTTTGAAGTGATTAGTATTGACTATTTAATAATTAAATTAAATATTAAATACATTAAAAGTAACGGTTTTTGGAGGGAAATGGTTAATTGCCACATAGGTAAAATTAAATAGGTTTTATTAAATGCTATTAGCTAGTAATTATATATATATATAGATAATAACATTTTATCTACTTCTATTTTTTAAGACCCTTTGTTTTCCTTTTGTTGCATTTTTTCTTCAATTTTCAATTATTTGTATCTAACCAAAAATTGAATTTTCATATTCCATCGATCATTTCATACTTGTTTTTCAATTCTTTCACCATCATAACAGCAATCTTCAAACTAAAAATTAAATTATTTACGTTTTTCACACCATTGCATCATTACATTTTGACATTAATTTTCCTTAATTTCCAATCCAAAATTGCAATCCCATTTTTTTGGAATTTGCACACAAAGTCTCCATCTTAGCTTGTTTTGCAATTCAATCCTGTCTCCTGAAGACTGCAAAATGAATCAATTATTTTGCTTCATTATCATGAGCATATCGAATAAAATTTGTATTCTTTTTTGGATAAACTAATGTAATGGCAACTCAATTTATGGTTAGACTTTTATATTTTTTTTAAATATTTTATTTTTTCAATATACATACATACTTTTGAGAAGAAATGTTATGGTCACATTACGGTACCATCCCCTCGAGTATTTTAATCGTTGAATCATCTATATTATACTAACTACATGTGTATTCAACGATTAAAACACCTGACCGACCGGATGATACTGTAAACGGGACATTTGCATTCCCCTATATTGAGACTGATTCTTATTTTAACCAACATTATACATCTCTATGCGATTTAGTATTCAATATTATTAAATCCTTTTCCTTTTTTGAGTTGGGTACCGAGAAAATATTGAAATTCCCCAAAAAGGTACATTTTTTTAGACTGTAGTCCTTATATTTAATAAATATTTCATATATAGTTATTGTTTTATTTTAAAGAAGAATGGGTCTCAATTAGTCCTAAATATATTCTCCTTAATTTTATATTGTAAACCCAATTTTATAAATTTCCCGCAATGTTTTATCGCTATCTACAGTAAATTTCCCGGGAAAGTTGATTTGATCCTCAGATCCACCGCCGCATCTCACCCACCAGCCACCGGAAACCGCCGCCCACCGGCTTTTCAATCCGGCGGAGCCAATGGAAATCCCAAGCACGAGCGCGAGCGCGAGCGCGAGCGCGAACGCAGGCGCACCCTCCACGGAGCCCAAAACTCCGGAGCTGAAGCTTATCAGCTCCTATCGCCGCCCCTCCGCCTCCCGCACAATCTGCGGCGATCGGTTCATCCCCAGCCGCTCCTCCTCCAATTTTGCCCTCTTCAACCTCCCTAATTCCAGCTCGCAGACCTCCTCCAGTGATTCACACTCCGCGTACACCAACCTCCTGAAGTCTGCCCTTTTCGGACCCGAATGCGTCGCCGGGGTTAATGGGCTTCAGCCGTTGACGCCGGAAAAATCTTCTCCCGGCGGGAGATTTGGCGGTAGGAGAAGTGATGGTGGTTTTCCGCAGGTGAGTCCGAATTGCAACATATTCAAGTACAAGACCGAGACGAGGAAATCTATGCCTTCTCTTTCACTGTTTGAGTTTGATGATAAGCTCCCTGGGGTGTCTCGCAGTCCTGTTAAGGCACCCAGAAAAGTTCCAAGGTCGCCGTATAAGGTCCGATTTGCAATCTTTTAGGGTTTTCAAGTTCTTTCCTGAATTGGGCCTTTTCAATTTGCTTGTGATTCTCTCTCAAATTTGGAATCATGTTTATGGGTTTTTGTTTTTTTTATTTCGTTTATTCGTTTATTTTGTTGCCATGGTCTCTCTTCTGTATGCTGATACTTGAATTTGTAGTCTAATGTTCTGTTGCTGTTATGTGGTTCTTATGTTCTGTAGCTGCATGTTAATATACTTGCAGTTTTGGTTAATGATGGTCTTACTGTTGGCTTTCTAAGTTCTGTTGCTTGGCTCTGCATATATTGATTTGTGGATCCATCATTTTCAGCTGTTACAAATTATTTTTTCTACGATTTGACCAATTCATACTAACTGAAATTTTACATAGGTTTTGGATGCGCCTGCTTTGCAAGATGATTTTTATCTCAATCTTGTAGACTGGTCACCACATAATGTGCTGGCTGTGGGGTTAAGCAACTGTGTCTATCTATGGCATGCTTCTAGCAGCAAGGTAAGAATTCATACTCTCTCGATAATCTTTCCATTCCTTTTGTCTCACAAATTGATGATATTGGCTGTTTTCATATTATTGCAGGTAGTGAAGTTGTGTGATCTGGGAGGTGATGATAGTGTTTGCTCAGTTGGCTGGGCACACCGTGGTACACATCTTGCTGTTGGAACTAATAATGGCAAACTCCAGGTATGTGGTTAAGCTTATTTCTGAGTGGATCGTTGGATATATATGTGCTGGAACTAGAATCATACAGTATGTCTTAAGTAGTTAAGTTCTAAATTACATGCTTCTGCAAATTCTGTTTGGTTGTTGGTTTTGTTGATATCCGTATTCACGTATGAATCGTATCTCATGAGATATGCTTAGTGTTGGAATGGAACCTTGCTTAGGTAGCACCTAAGCTCACCCTCTAATGGTGTGTTTCACCTCTATTGGACTGCACCTCTTCCCCTGACTCTATAACTCTTAACACTTAGCATTCCTCAGGGTCTGTATTCATATATTCTGTTTAAATCCAAAATTTTGTTTGGGGTACTTAATACTATAGGCCATTGTGAAATTGTCCCGATATTTATTGTCGGTACTGGCATGACGATTTCCACTGAAGAATGAATTCAAACACTTGATGGTGATCTTGTTGGATTTAACAGATCTGGGTTGTGGGAAGCAGGACCTGTATGAGAACTATGCTGGGTAATATTGTTGGAAAGATGTGAAGTGAATGCTTTTGAAAAGTTGTAGATGGGAAATTGCTTTTGAAAGTGAATGTATCATGACATATCACGAGAACAGCTGCTCTAAAGAGGGGCTTGAAATGCATAATGTTTCTTGGGGCTCATTCTGTTTATTTTACCATGAAAATAAATTTAAACTTCACCTTATCCTCTGGAAATGATTATATCAAACGGCAGAAAATATATGGAAAAGTAAACAAGAACCACAATCATTAAGCATAATGTAATTTGGTGCAGTTATGGGATGCCTCTCGTTGCAAGAGGATCAGAACTATGGAGGGACATCGGCTGAGAGTCGGTGCCCTTGCCTGGAGTTCATCCATGTTATCCTCAGGAAGCCGGGACAAAAGTATTCTTCATCGTGATATACGAGCTCAGGATGATTATGTCAGCAAGTTAACTGGACACAAGTCAGAGGTATACCTGTCATAAATTTGCTTTTGGTCAAGCATCTCAAAACATATTTTACTTCTATTGCAAGTATTACTCTCATGTGATGGTCGTTTATGGGGGTCTCAATGTCATTTAACCTAAGCATTAAGATGCTTTGTTTGTAGGTTTGTGGATTGAAGTGGTCTTATGACAACCGAGAATTAGCATCTGGTGGAAATGACAATAGAGTAAGTACTCTGCAAATTGATTTTTTAACCAGATTTCATATCTTGTTTGACTAACCGATTCTATTGGGTATGTCTATTTTTTGTAGCTTTTCGTGTGGAACCAACATTCGACTCAGCCTGTACTTAAGTACTGCGAACATACTGCAGCTGTAAAGGCTATTGCATGGTCACCCCATCTTCATGGGCTCCTTGCTTCTGGAGGAGGCACTGCTGATAGATGCATTCGTTTTTGGAATACGACTACAAATACGCAACTGAGCTGTATGGATACCGGAAGTCAGGTAACCTACCTGAGTTTTTAGTTCAATTTATCGAGTCTACTCAGCCTACTGAAATTTATTTTCTATTTTAATAAACAAAAATGAAAGAAGTCTATTTTGTACTTTTTTGCCTTATTTTATCTTTATGAAATCTCAGATGAAATTGAATGCCTAGAGGGGGATATAATGAAATTCTTTTAATTGGTTCTTCCCATAAAACAAAAGGAATGATTCCCTTTTTTGATTTAACTGATCAGGCGAAACGAAACTAAAAAACAATCATTTTGTTTTCGTATTTCTACTCAACAAACACTTTACGAGTAAGTTCTACGATCGCCTGATGTAATAATACTATGACTGACAGGTGTGCAATCTTGTGTGGTCTAAGAATGTCAATGAACTAGTGAGCACACATGGCTACTCCCAAAACCAAATTATTGTCTGGAAATATCCGACCATGTCAAAGGTACTTCCCACAAAGCATGAAGTAGAAAGAAGATCGAATTCGGATTTCTGGCACGTTTCGTATACAAGTCTCTTATTATTCGATATTTTTTTTTTAACTGTCGATGCAGTTGGCAACTCTGACTGGCCATACATATCGGGTGTTGTACCTTGCCATATCGCCCGATGGACAGGTATGTGAAAGAAATCAGCTACGTGATGTTCGAAATTCAAGTTCATTTCTTTTTTTGGGTCATTTTTTTTCTCATACTGGGTATTTTTTTATTTTTTTTTCCAGACAATTGTAACAGGAGCAGGAGACGAAACGCTCAGGTTTTGGAATGTCTTCCCATCACCCAAGTCTCAGGTTACCGATCAACTTTCATCATTACTCGTACTAGTTTACACATTTGCTTCGTAAAAAAATTGATCTTGGCTCGTTTTACGCATGCACTTGATGGGGATAATTTCATTTTACCTGCCATAGTTACTGTGTTTGCACTTCAACTGAACTTTCGAAGCCTCTGCATTCTAACCTGTATTTCACAATACGTATGTGATGTCTAATACTAGCCAAAAACCTCCCGTTTTGCAGAACACTGGTAGCGAAATTGGAGCCTCGTCGTTTGGAAGAACACATATTCGTTGATGCTGTAAAGCCATTCGCTTTATTTATTTCACAACGTTTTATTTTTTTATGCTCCATAAACGATGATGAACAGTCACGGCTCTCTGGCTCATATCAAAGAAATGCATACCATATGAACTGAGGGCAAAGGATTAGCAAAAATTAGACGAAAAGAGTCGATTGTCCTTGCAATCGCGCAGAATGTTAGATATATGATGGGGAACATTTTCGAATTTTTACCTATTTGTACAGTTGGAGTTGTTATGTAATGCCTCTTTACAAATACAGTTGGAGTTGTTATGTAATGCCTCTTTACAAATACAGTTGGAGTTGTTATGTAATGCCTCTTTACATCTCCTATTTTTTTTTTTTTT